GATTTGCTTATTAGCTTTGACTGAATCAGGAGCAATGCTTGTATGAGGGATGAGTCACGTGATGCTTCAACTAACAAAAGCTTCTCCTTTTTCCTCTCCTTTACTGATCCAGACTTTTGCTTAGCCAAAAAGGTATCCTCTTCCCTTCTTAGAAAGTAGTGCTCCTGTGAGTTGTTGTAGTGTTGTCAAGTAAACTCCTAGTGAGTAGCTTTTGATCTTTCTACCATTGTGGCAGTGACTGTAATGTATAGAAATACTTCTGTCATCATGAGATAAAATTGCCTTTTGACTGTAAAATTACTTTTCAGAAGGTAAAAACATGATAATGCTCACTGTGTTGTGAGCAACCCAACGGATGCAACTGAGAGGCCGATGCAGTGCCTATTTTACTAGAAGCACTTGGATCATGGTGCATGAACAGAAAAACTGTTAGCTGGCATATTGTCATTCTGCATCAGATCTAGCCCTTTATAATAGCAGCTCCAGGCAGAGCGATCTTCTCCTGGGAACACTCCTTAGACAGTCACTCACTACTGGCAAAATGAGAACTCCCCAGCCAGGGATTTTACTGGGATTAAACTGTCCAAATCATTAGCAGTCAATACACGGATTCTCTGGTTCTACTTTCTTTGGAGCTGATTTATCCTTTTGGCCTGCACCAATTTCTGTGGCAGTACGTTCCTCAACTTTTGCATGCATAATGATCCTCTATTTCAAAACACACGCACAAGTGTAGCGAGACACTCCTGTGGGGTGTGAGAAACAGGAGAGGGTTGTTCTCCATTTCCACCTTGCCCATCCTTCTTAATTGTAGAGATTCAGGCTGCATTCCTTCTAAGAATCTTCTCACATGGGAAAAAAGGGAAGTCCATTGATTGATGATCGTTAGTTACCTAAGAAGTAGTTTTCTAAGAATTCCGGACGTTCATCTGTTTGTTCACCATTAAGGTGACTTTTTCTGAGACACCCACTCTGCATTTTGCAGTTACTTCCCCAGGCAGCAATCCAGCACTACACTCTGGCACGGGGAAAATGAAAAGTAGTCTCTTCCCTGTCTCTCAGCTGGATTACTTTTTTTTTTGCCTCCTAGTCTGTCCTGTGGCATCTTTTAGGTCATTTCTATTTACAGAAAGTTAGAAATAGTATTTCTGCCTTCTCATTTGTGCTTTTTGCCTTCTGCAGTTCAAGCAAGTTTGCTGCAGTTGGATTTCACAAAGCTCTGACAGAGGAGCTGTCTACCCTGGGAAAGGACGGAATAAAAACTACTTGTCTTTGTCCGGTTTTTATAAACACTGGATTTGTCAAAAACCCCAGTACAAGGTAACTATCAAAACTCCGCCTTCCTGTCCTTCCTTCTTTGCATCACGGCACTACATGTTAGCCCCAGCTTTAGGCCTTGTATTCAAACTCACTAGACAAAAACAGTGTATACAATTGGCTGAAGAAAATCTGCTGTGTTATTTAACTCACATAATGGTTGCATTTGAATTACCTGAGTTTGGGCATATGCGAATCATCCTACCTCACCTAGTACCACCCGTGTTTTACCACCGTAGCTCTTACATGTATGTTTTCCTGTGTAGGCTTGGAAAGATTTTGGAAATTGAAGAAGTTGTAGAGGCCTTGATGGAAGGAATACTGACCAACCAGAAAATGGTTTTTGTTCCATCACATCTAAGCTTTGCTTTATTTTCCGAAATGTAAGTAGCAAAAAAAAGGGGAGGGAGGGAAAACCACATCAGTGCTAACTACCTGAGTATACGAGCATCACACTTGTAACACCTGATTCAAGACTGGGTTTTATTTTATGAGGAACTGCATTTTGCACTCATGGTAATTAAAAGATATGGTTTGGCAGCACAGAGAAACCCTGGGATGACAGCTGGACAGCAGAAGTTCCCATTCAACCCAGTGTCATTTACTTTGTATTGGCTTCAGTGTTGGACATCAATATGCCTGTAGTAACTAGATAATGTGTGTTTGCAGGAGAGAATATTATTTCTTAAACAACCATTCATCTGAAATATTTTAGTATGAGCAGAACACGTAACAAGGCAATGAAATAGCAGTGGTTCTTTCTAATGACAGCAGCAAACATCACACACAGCTTGTTTTGAGCCCTCACATAGGTGCTTGTGATCCACTTTCTGCAGCTGACTGTTCTCAGTGGAGAACTCAACTGCTTTACAGCCTGACAGGGAAGGAGAAGGAGAACAAGACACTGTGTTTTCTTCACAGATTGCCATTTCTCTTGGGCTTGGGAACAGCAGTTTCTCTGAACCAGCAGCCCCAGTGTAGTTCCAGCAGGGCTGAGGACCTGCTGCTTATGAGTGTTTGTTTCTTCATGTCAACACCAAAGACTGAGGTCACAGAGGCTGGGAAAGTTGCTTCAAAAGAGCTCTACTGCGTCTGTCTGCCACATAAAGAAAGATTTGTCCTCTCACATGTCTTTAACATCCAGTGTAGCTGCTCTGCTGAGGAGGCATTTTTACTAGCTCAGGTTCCAAACCTGGAATTCACATCAGAACAACCAAGTTAATTTTTCAGTTCACTTGTACAGTATTCCATGAAATACTTGGTAATATCTTATTTGCAAAACCTGACAACAGGTAGTGCTTTTTTTGTCTTAATTTGGGGCAGGGGTGACACAAAGAGACATGACTCATATGAAAAGAAATCCTAGGGGTGGAAACTGCACTTCTGTTTTAACATCTCATCGTTCCATAGGCCTGCTGCTTTTCAGAGCGTAAAACACTCAATGCGAACCCATCTCTGTTCAATACTGAACCTTCTTGGATCCTGCAGCAATATTCCAACCCAAATACTGCCCAGTAGATACTCAGCCTTAAAACTGTCATAAAAGGACATGGGTGAGATTGGCGTTAAACTAAACAGAGATTGATGAAGGCTCTGTATTCTTTAGAAATAATGCCTGGTTTAAGCCTTGATCTCAGTTTGTGGGTGCACCTTTCCGCTCCCAGACCAGCCCTTTCTTCACCTGTGGTGCCGCTTTTTCCCATGATTTAAGTTTCTTATCCCACATTGAATTTCATGTTATTATCTCTTTCAGGTTGTTCCCAGAACGCACCTTGGCTGTTCTGAAAAAGCTGACTGATGTCAAGTTTGATGCAGTTGTTGGGCAGAGAAGCACCCAGTGAGAAGCAAAAATTGATTTCTTATTTCCCAGTGGCACGAGTGAAAACAGAACACATGCTGAGCGTAGTTTGGCTGGTTTGATTCAGTGCAGAACTAAGACAGATGCTTCCAGGCCATCATTTCCAAGCACACCTAAGGGTTTATCCCACGCCTACAGCAGGGACATACCTGCATAACATGGAGTGTTAACAAATCAGAGACGCAGCTCTAGAAGCCTAAAGGGCTGCTTTGGCTGCACGTCACATCACCTCTGTCTCCTAGTGCTGAGGCAGACAGGAATTCCCATAAAGCCCGTCTTTGGCACAATACAGCTGCCTGCTGGAGTGCAAAGGGATTGCCTGAGAATAGACTCATCCCTGAGCAAAAGTACCTTGCAAGAAGCAATTTATAGAGGAGGTGAGTGGCCTGTTTCACCTTAATTTACCTTTTTAAATTTAAAAACAATGTGCTCTAATGAACACTCGCAGTTTCGTGTGCTTTTGTAGTGAGTACATGAAACAATACAGCCTTGTTTGTAATGTAATACCTAATTACATTGATTATTAATTATGCATTAGTACCATCAACATGCCTTATTTTGAATAAATACAGTTCTTTAACACAGAGGTGTCTCTCAGCAGTGAAATTCATAACCAGGTCCTAGAGGTGCATTTGAGGTATGGTATCAAGTAGTATACCCTTTTCCCGTATTATTTCTCACACTGCTCATCTGCGGTTCCCAGACACATTTATTACACCTTCCTGTGAATACAGTGCAGTATTTCTCTACAAATTACCGGGCGCCCTCTTGCATTTCATGCATGCTAGAGAATGTGATTTATTTCACGAGAACGCAGACCAATTTGGACTTTTTTTTCTCCTTACATTGCAAGGCAAATAATCCAACCTAAAGGAAATTCTGCTGCCTGTCTGCTTCAGTATTCATAAGTCATACTCATGTATTAAAGAATAGAGCAAGGTTATGCTGAGCCATGGGCTTTTTTCACAGGCAGCAGGCAAGTTTAAGTTGAAGTCCACATGGGTTCTGCATCTGTGTATAATGCAAGAGCAGGTTGGAACTCCTCAATACATCTTCATTTTGACTAATTAACACATTCATCGCAGCACAAAGTTACACCCATGCAGACACTGGATAACACATGTGCTTCCTTCTGTCTCTTCAAACACATGTGCACCAGACCGAGGGTTTTTGTATTCCACCCCTCTGAAACGATGCCTCACTGCCTGGAAAAGATGCTACAGCAACAACATCCCTGTGTGATCCTGACCTTTACATTCCCAACACCGCTCTGCCCCTTATAGGTGCAGGAGAGCAGCGGAGCGGGGATTCTTGGCAGGACGAGGCACGCCAGGTGCCCCAGTAGGGGCGAGGCAGGCATCACACCAACGGGGCGCTGCCCCACTGCTCCACAGAAAGCACGGCAGAGCAAGTTCCACAAGAGTGAAAGGGTCAGCCAGAGTCTGCCAACCGCCAGGCCAGGCTGCAGGGACGAGGCAGGTCCTCAGTCACACTGGAAAGCCATATCAGGATCAGCAAGGTACAGGGCCAGGCATGGCACAGCATCAGTCCCATCCCCATCGCAAGCCAGCAGCCTGCTCTGGCGGGACCCGCCTTGACCAGGAGGTTGAACTCCCAAAGGTCTTTGGCCTGTGATACAAGAGAACAGCGCCTGATGAAACACAGGTCAAACACTTCTTCAGAGCACAGATTATCTTTCTACCCACTTGTGCAACTCCCGACTGCGTCAGGCATTTGCTGGCTTGTAGCCATGAGGGAGGCCTGAATATGCTGCCACCCTCGGCACAGCTGGAAATGGGTGGCTTCCAGTGGAATCCATCCCACTCACGTGAGCATTTTATGTTGCTCTGTAAACTCAGGTTCTTCAGAAAAGGGAGAGCCCTCGTCACCCAGCTCTTCCTGCTCTTAGGTGGCAAGAGGTAGGAGTTTGTGCTGCTGGCAGCACAAAGGGTTGCTAAAATGACACAAAAGTGGTTTCCTTTTTGCTACTGTAACATTCATGTAACAGGACATTCAGGGTGTGGCAAAGCACAAGTTTCCAGCTTGGGACCTCTTGCTTCCTAGTGCAAAATTCTGATAGCCAAGAAAGGAAAAGAAAGGGGTTTGCAAATTTCTAGGAACGAAAAAACAGTTAAAAGCCAACTAAAGAGTATGAGACATGGGTCGCATTTAAAACCAAGGCCCTCCAAACCCCAAAACATTTGAGAAGCATGCTTTGAGTCCTGAAGGATAAAGGAGGCCAATTTGCATGCATGTACAGTGAGTTATTTTGTTAAGTCTCTTTTCCCTGCCTCAGAGGCATCCCCCAAATCTGAGAACAGTGATTTAATGTTGTGTCTACCGTGAAAGAAGTTCTTTGGTTTTTGCTGTTTCTGCTTTTATTTGAGCTACATATTCAGGTCTTGCTAAGGGGACAGGCCTGTCACATCTGAGAGCCACTTGGTTTTCTCCATGTTGCCTGAGACTCCAAGTCTTCTGCTTGGCATAAAGAAACAGACACAAAAGCAAGGATTTAAACTTTCATCTCCTGAACACCAGTGACAGGATTGAACCATCAAGCCTCCCAGGCTCCTCTGTTCCCTTCCTGTCCACAGCAGACAACTGAAGCCTATCCCAAAGTCTGGTCACTATGGGTGCCTAGCAGGAGCCTATGTGAGCAAGCTCCATATCGCTATACATATCGCATACAGCTAAATCCCAAATTTGAAGAGTATTACCTCACATCCTGGCTTAGGACTCGTTATGAGTCAGATTAGTGACTCTGGCTTCGTGGTCTGCCTCCCTCTGAGGTGTCTCTTAGAGTCAGCACTTCTCTGCCCTCCCTGCCTCCTCCATCTTGGCCACAGCACTGACTGGAGCCCTGTGCCAGGAAAATGACAGCACCACTGAGCCGTGCAATTAGGGTCTGGCCCAAAGGGCGATGTGTTAATTAAGAGCAGAATGAAGTTCCAAGAGAAAAGTAGGAAGTGCCTAGTTCTGAATCTCTCTGCTGGAGTCAACCCAGTCTCCTGCAGACAAGATGAGTAACAGTGCAGCTAAAGCAGCAGGACATTGGCTAGAGGTCTGTGGAGCTCCTACCCCAGCTCTTGGAGCTCTTCCACTCTATGAAAGCACAGCAGTGTCAGGACCCCACAGAGATGTTATGTACCAGGTGCACTATGTGTTCCCTGAGCTGCTGCACCCAGCATGCAGATGCCAATGCTGTGACTGCCCTTCTAGCTGACAGAGTCTCTGTTCCCCAGTGCTAGAGGCATGAAAGACAACTATTGGTATCACAAATCTGTAGCTGCGTTTGTAAGCTTACATGGCCAGGCACCACACTCATGCACTGTTTTGCAGTCATCTATACTGTCGAAGTGTTAGCATGCTTCCCGGCGTAGTTTTGACCCATAACCTTGTCTGGCAGCACATGTTCTGGCATAGTGTGGGAGCAGTGTCCCTGGGTACAGCGCTGCTGGGCAGGCAGTGTGGGTGAGACCATCTGCTTTGCAAAAGGAGTGGAAGTTTATGGACACAGAAGCCTTCCAAGGACACCATCCAAATCAACACTGAATAAAACAAAGGAGAAGCTGCGATATAGTTTCCTTGTCCACTATATATGCAGACCTGAGTGGTCTGAAATTTGAGAGGCTCATTATTAAAGAACAACATTTAACAACAATATTTAATGACAATATTTAACATTCATAATTACTGTCATAATGATAGGTAGAATTTTCAAGAGTCTCTAAGTGGCTTCAGCTCATCTTGGTCACATTGAGCCTTACTGAATTTCTAATAGCATGGATTAAAGCTCCCTACAGCACTACAGCCTGATCTATCTCTTTAGCAAAGTCTGAGAGTAATTCTTCAGAGACTAGCTCTGCTGCATTTTTCCAAAGTCTATGAATCCTACTCAGAACGTTAGGAGAATCATCCCAAGTTGTGTTTCTTGTCACAAATCCAGGCCACTTACAAGTGAAAATCACAGCTGTACATATTATTGCCACTCTCTGCTAGCACTGAGGCCCAAACCTTATGATTAGGGCAATACTCATAGTATTTTAATGCTTATAGGTAATGCCAGTATGCATTAAAAACCATGTAATTTTAGACAGTATTCCAGAACGTGGATTTCTAAATGCACAGAATTTCCTGAATTTCCACAGCAGTTCAAGGAAAGGGGTTTTTTTTTGTTTGGTTGGGGTTTTTTGTTGTGTTGTTGGTTTTTGGGATTTTTTTTTTCCTACTGTTCCACTGAAATTAAGCATCTGAGATTACTGACTGGCCACAGCATTGCAAAACTGCAAAATTCTATTCTGAAACAAAATTTTGGTACCCTAAACTTTTCACATTCTTTCATTCTGCATCTAGTATCTGGCCATGCATTTTGCTCTTTTCCAAGCAGGTCTTTTGCATTCTATATTTACACTACAGTTTGAGCTCACCACTAAGAGGATCGCAGTTTTACTGCAAAACCTCTATTAGAGAATGCACAAGCTTACTTTTATCCAAGCAGCCAGGTGTTACTAGGAGTGAACATGGTCTCATATAAACTATTTCCCCTCCGTGTTCTCAGCCTGTTAGTGTTCAGAGCTGGTAGCTGACCATTTTCCAAAACATCACAATCAAAACGTTTTTTCAGGAAACATCCTAGTTAAACAGATGCTGCATCAGGAAGTTATGCTCGTTGCTCAGAAATAATCCAGTGACAATAGTGAGTGTGTTTTTACATAACGGTATTCCAGATACTCATGTTCACTAGTACCTACCAGCTTGCTAATTACGAGGTAATCTCTAATGGGAAAAAAACTCCGAACACTGAATGGGAACTTGCACTAATCTTTTGATGATCACACAGCTTTGAAGATTAAATGCTGCTGCTTTATTCTGAAGAGCTGACCTGGAACATAGTACATAAGAAGTTCTTTGAGCCTTATAGCATTGACACCTGCACTCTAAGAGATGTGAAATATTTAAGATCAGGTAATAACTGTTTTTAATATTATGCAGAGGTGGTGGTCTGCATTTACTCTCATCTAGTGATTTCTGTGTAGTTACACTGAAATTGTACTGGCATAAGACAAGATTCAAGCCTCTCTAGTGTAAAAAACAACAAAGGGAAAAAAGTATTTATCTGGAGTTCAATTCTCAAAGCCATTAAAGCACACACGTGCAGTTAACCCCAGT